TCCGGATACAAGCTGCATCAATGGCGCCGCTCTTCTTCGCGCTCGGACTTGTAGCCTTGGAGGCTTCCCATCCGCACGCTTCCAGTGTCGTTGAAGCGCTTCGAGTGGAATGTGAGCTCGAACGAGGTTGTCGACGCCGCAACGCTGACGGACCTTGCGACCGCCGTCGGGCTCGAGCATATCTTCTCTGCAACTGCTTTGGTCCGCTGGCGACATGTCCGGCCGCGGCGCCAATGCTATCGCAACTGGAGTCGCTCTCGTCGTCCATCGACTGGGCAATGGCACCATGGAGGCATTGCTCTTCGGGCGCTCAACACCCAATCGACGATTCAAGGGCCGTCGAGTCCTCGGCGGCCGTCAAGAAGATGAGACGTCGCTGGTCATTCTGTGCTTTCGCCCCGCGGGCTCGGTCGCCCTGCCCCCACGAAGTTCCGGCTCGCCGCCTGCGGCGTCGGTTCTATGTGCTCGGTCGGTATCCGGATTTATTTGGATGCGGGCTCGGACAGTTTCGTTTGAAACACACCCGACGGCTTGCACTCCTCTGTCGGGTGGTCCGAGTACAGAAGCTTGCGTACGACCTCGAGCGAGCTAACCCTCGGCGAGTGGGGTCCACCACGGGATGGATCTCTCCGTGCGCAGCTCACTCCCAACGACCAAGTGCCGGTGCCAACTCCCACGCATTCAGGCGTAGCACTACGTATGCGAAGTCTTTGAGTTAGTTTTTGCTAATTTGATTTCAACGCGAACACGTTTGATTGATTGATTGGTGCGATGACAACGCATTAGTGACACACCACGGACTGTGACTCATCAGTGACCTACGTAGGAATGTGACGCATACCCGACAGACCACCGACTGTGCCTTATAACAGACAGTGGACTCGATATCTCAATATTGGACAGACACGATAAAACATTGATACTGCAATCCTCACACTACTCCCACAGCTCTACCATGTCACATTTTCTCGTGATCGGTATCTTTGAATTTGGTATCTACCAAGAGATGGGCTTAATTTACGCAGTGCAGCGCTCGTGGTTGTCGAGTTTATATCT